TTTATTTTTTTATTTTTCTCTCACAATGTATGTATTGAAACTTTTTAGTTTAGGTTATCATTTGGTGTCTTCTGATGCCACAAGTCCTTTTGGTGCTTTTTTGTGATATCCTACCTTTGTGTAAAAAATAAATTTCAGTTCAGTTCAGTTCAGAGAACAAATGGGGCCTGGGTGTCCTAACACTAGAAATACTACTGGAGAGGGATGTTTTCGGTATCGATGGATAGGCTAAGTCCATTTAAAACCGTTTACTATTTACATCGGCCGCTCATGTCAGAGACGAGACCTGCCTCATATTATAGAGCTCAGCAAGCGAATGATGAAAATCACAAGTCTCCAGCCTTGTTAGAAAAGAAGCTATAGCCATTTTACCGTCGCAGCAGAAAAGTGCATTTTCACCATTTTCCGGTGGATTTGGCCTAATTTGTACGTCTGACCACATTCCCTAACATAGAACCTTGAAGTTGGTGTCAAATGAAAGAGCGCATCGAGTTCTATATATTTCGATGGAGAAAAGTTATGCTAGACGTCGCAGTCTTGACATAGAGATTTTTGAAAACCTAGTGACCTTAAAGTTTGTTTCAGAAGCCTTTGAACTGTATCATTAGATAGTCCCTTCAACTCTCCATAAAATAAGATGAGACTAACTTTTTACGATGTTGTATCACACAGTGGCATTGAAAATACGATACAGTTCGACGGCATTAACGCGATTGAATTTATATTTTCAGTTATATTGATGTCTTTCAGTTCTTCTAATCGTAATAGTGTTCCAAACATCGATTGTTCAAATTGTTTAAAATTCAAGTTGAATTAATTTTAATTCTGGATGTTTTAATAATGTTTGAATAGCATTAGCCAAGAGATCTTGGTTTGCCAGAGACCCTGGTTTCATGAGTTTTGATAGAACCTTTGTATACAGCAAATCAGATCGGAAATTCTTTCAGCTGTTCAAATCCTTCTTCAAATTTGTTCTAACTACTATGGTTGCCGACAAAAATGAAAACTAAAGGTGGCAAATAAGTTTTCGACCCCAAGCACAACCATCGCTGCGAAGCTTCGTTAGGTTTCCTTTTAGCACACATTGTAGAGTTTTCCAAGACGCTTCGAATGATGTATGAATGAGTAGAGATCTCTATCTGTGGACGAAACTATAATAATTTTTTTCTACCACTTCGGTTAAAATCGAGATGCATGTCAAGTATTTGTCGAATACATCTATGAAGGCAAACTTTTGAAACAATATGTTATAGCTCATTGGGTAGCCCTTTCAAGTCTAATAAATAGGTCCCTCTAAAATATATCGCCCCTCAACCTCACCAAAGTCTGTCTTCCGAATCCAATACAGGTAAAAAGACATCCTGCAAATAAGAAAAACTTGAAGACAGCTTACCCATACTATAAACTAAAATTCAGTCCTTCATATGATTAATTACCCAAATAAAAAAATTTCTTAAACATAATAGAAATAAAAATCACAATGATCATCCATTATGAACATTCGCGTGAAATAGGACAGGTATTCTTACAGACCACATCCTGAAACTTAACTCTCAAGAAACGAAATATATATTAACCAACAATAAATATGTTGTGCTAATCCAAAAACTAACACCGCACATGTTCATTTCCCGAACAAAGTATTAACTTTTTATTTGTCCTTATAATTAATAAAAGCGCTAGTATAAAGTGGAACTGGGATATGATTCATTAGATCTATATCTATCTTATCATATCTATAAGATATAAATAAAGAAATCACAGAAATTTCCGTAATTACCGAAATTTCCAAGTAATTTCCCAAATTACTGAAAATTCTTCTAGTTCTCAAGGTAGGGCTGTTTAAATCTGTATCGATCCTATCACATCTATATCATATAAAGAAAGAAATTATAGAAATTTCCCATTAATTATAGAAGTTTCTAGGAAATTTCCAGAGAAAATGCTTCGTATGTCTGAAATCTTATCGAAATTTCGCGGACTTTCCGCTTTCGTTGAAGCGTAAGTTCAGTAATTTCCGAGAAACTGTTGGGTTAAAGTTAATTGATATCGGATATTTCCTGGTAATTTCGTCCGGGTGTGGTCGCATTTTCCGTAATTACCGATAAATTTCGTTCTATAGGACGAGTAATTAACGAAATTTCCAGCAGATTTCTTCGGTGAAGTGAAGAAATCTGCCCATTGCTGGATTCAGATGATAGAATCCTATAAGAAGTACCACACTATCCTAACAGAAGTCACATGAGTTCCTATGATAAGATTATGCAGTATTTCATAGGATCCTAAACAATTTCCTGTGTTTCGTAGGATCTCATACGATGCAGCGTTACTCATCCATTTTGCATACAGTCAGACGCTTAATTAACGTAAATAAAAGATTGTATGTTAGTTTATCTTATGAATTCTTCTAAAGTAATAAATAGTATAAACTGTCTTGCCGAATTCTTATCGGAATCTTATAAGATTCTTATATTCCTTCCTATTGGAATATTATCAATATCTTACGCATTTCCATTGATTGCCTTAGATAAGATCCTTATAGAATTGTCGTAAGTTTGCTACACCTAGTGCTTAAGCATATGAGTCATGGTCTTCAATTATCACCGATGCAATAGATTCCAACATGAACCTACCTGCCTATAGGAAACACTTTTTGAGCCACAAAACGAGGTTAGACATAAGAAGTTTTATCTAGTTTATCCCCTGACACTCAAAAATCAATCTATACTTTCCTCTGACGGTCATTTCATATAAATAGAACAACTAGTTTATAGAAATTTTTGTTGATTTTCTACTTCTTTCTTGTTAGTAATGGAACTGTTAGATAGTGACCTCTAACAAGATTGTATATATTCTGTATGAAGGTTGTGTTTCCTTTTATTATTCGTTCTTTCTTCCTCCTGTACTATGAGTGTACATAGGAGGAGGATTTATTTTGTTTCCTTCATGTACCATACATTTCATCATGTTTTGTCTCCGTTTATTGCGTCTAGAATGCCTTTACCACGTAGATTTGTATCAACGCAGAATCTTTCATTTTTTTCTCTGCTCGTGTCAATGTTTTTTAATCGGAATTTTCTTCAGAGTGGAACTTTCCACTTTGCTATTAACATCAAAGTGGGATTTTCCACTTTGTCCTGAAACATAAAGTGGACTTTTCACTTTCAGTTAAATGGATCAAATTAATTTCTCTGCCCCTCCTTATTAATAAGAATAGAATACGAAAAAAGTGGTTGGTTTCGTTTCTTGCAAAATAAAATAAAGTCATGTGGTCAATAACATTATTAGCGTCGGAACTTTGTTTTACGGAAAAATCGGCTAGCTTTAACCAGCAGAAATCTAAAATATACAATGTTTTTGAAGGATAAGCTGGACTAATCATTCGCAGTCTGCTTATCCTTGCTAGACGTGGGACAGTTCCCGTTGCTAGTAACTAGAACTGGTAACCAGTTACTGTTCCTTCAAATTACCATAATTTTACATCTCTAAGTGGATGTTTGTTGCTCTATAATTTCTTCAAACAGTTAAAGGCGCTTCCCATAGTATAGGAACACTCACATTAAAGGCTGTAGAATAAAGATTTCCTATATTGTATTTCCAATAGTGTATTGTTTCTGTGGAAAACATGGCAGTATTGTCTGTGGGAACTGAGCTAGATGAGTTTACTACAGTGTAAAAAACAAGACAGATGAGCATCAACTTTTCTACATCTTGATTATGAAGAAAATGGTAAGTGGTCACCAGTTCCAGTTACTGGGAACGGTAACTGGTCACCAGTTCTTGTAACCAGTTACTAGAAACAATAGGAACTGGAACTGTCCCACCCCTAAATCCTTGCTTTGTGTTAGAAAAAAATATGTTCGTACGACGCCAAATCGTTTTATAGATTTTTAATCAAATAAATTGATTTTCTGCTGTTTCTTTAATATTGATGTATTGCGTTTTCAGGTGATTACTTTCCTACCTTATTCAAAAATGCATGTAAAACGTTCGCCTTTTTTTTATTAAAAAGAATCACGAGCTCCAGTCCTTTAAAAATGAATTGGTGTTCAATTCCAGTTTTTCAGAAAAGAACTGAAATTCACCATCAGTTCTTTTCACAAAAACTGAAACTGAACACCTGAACAGATTTTGTTTATTCTGAGACTTCCTACAATCAGTCATTTTAGATGACTCATTTAAAAACAACATATACTAAAAGAAGCCACGTACGTAGAACATTTCTGAAGAAAAAAAAGGCTGCGAAACTTTACACGTTTAGATAAAAGGCACAAATCATTTTTGACTAATATCCTCTTCGTATAAATTTTCAGACACTAGTGGTATGTGCTCGTGATAAAAAATAGAGAACATAACAGAAATTATACTGGTTAAGTGAAAACCCATTCTACTCTCGCTTGATCCACTAATCATTAAAAACACTGGCTCGTGTCAAGTACGTTACTTTCTAGTATTCGTTTTTTTTCTCGTAGACAAACTTCTTTTTCTTTCATCAACGTGATATTCATTGTTCACACTTAACGTGCGTTAATCGTGTTTTCACAAGTGGATGTGTTCATCAATCAAGTTTAGTTACAGGGTCAATTGAGGTCAGATGTGATCCCAAATACATGTAATAGTAACCGAAAACAAAAAGAAAATACGAAAGAACAGAACAAAGAAGAAACTACTTTTTGTTTTATTTTTTGTTTCTGTTGACAGCTACTCAAGTGATGCGAAAAAAGTCATTGTTTCAAACTTTATGCTTCTGGTACAATTCATTTTTTCATTTATTAACAACAAAATGTCTACTGATAACAGATACTATGATGTCATTATCATTGGTTGTGGTGCAGCTGGGATAGCTGCCGGTATTGAGTTACAAGAGCAATCATCTGAAACAAAATTTCTTATTTTGGAAGCACGTCATCGAATCGGTGGCCGTGCATGGACAATAGACAGTGATATATTTGGTTTTCCAATTGATTTGGGTGCAAGTTGGATTCATCATTATTCACCGACAAATCCATTCTATAGATATCATCAACAATTAAAAATAGATGAAGAAGAAATTATCGATTTTGAAGATCATTCTTGTTGTTCATTATTCATTGATTATGATGGAGAAAAGATACCGTCAAATGTCAGTTATCAAGCAAATCGTATAGGTGAAAATTTAATTGAATTACTGAATGATTATAAAGAAGTAGAGATAAATCAAGATAAATCAGTTGAAGAAGTGATAAAAGAAAAGTACGACCAAATTAAAGATGAACAAATAAAACGTTATGTAGATTTTTTTTTAAGTAAGTTAGAATATTATGAAGCGTCAAATATAAGTAAATTATCAGCAAAATATTGGAATTCTGAAAATGATACCATTCAATGTAATATCGCATTGAAATCAGGGTATGGTAATTTCTTAACGCAAATAGCTACACAATTGCATCAGTTACCAATTCAACTTGATACAATTGTTAATTCTATTGATACGAATGATCCTATTTACATCTACATTCACACTTCTAATAGTATAGTGTATAAGTGTAAATATGTTCTAATTACCGTTCCGTTAGGTTGTTTAAAAATACACACAATTGAATTCAAACCTCAATTACCTGAATGGAAAATGCAAGCAATCATCTCAATGGGTTATGGTTTAATGAATAAAATTGTTTTACAATTTTCATCAAATTTCTGGGGAAACAATATTACTCAAATTCATCATGCTAGTCGAGATACACGTGGAATTTTTCGTTATATTATTTCGACACCGAAATCAAATATTTTAATTTTATTCGTGGTCGATCATTTTGCACATGAATTAGAAGAATTAACGGATCAGGAGATAATTGAGCATGTAATGACATTTTTAAGGAAAATATTTCCACATGTTACAATAGAACAACCATTAAAATTTCAAATATCAAGATGGTCAAATGATAAATTCTCATGTGGTTCTTTTTCAAATTTTCCGGTGAATGCAAATCAACAGACAGTTAAAGATTTAGCAAGAGAATGTTCTGAGGGAAGGTTGCACTGGGCTGGTGAACATACAAACTATGGAAATTCAATTGGATGTGTCGATAGTGCATTTGAAAGTGGCCAACGTGAAGCAAAAAAATTATTAAAAAAATTAAATATAAAATAGTTTTTGTTCGGGTTCTATAAATAAACTTGAGTAAAGTAAAGAAGATCGTAATGTTGAAGGATGATGGCAGAAGTTAACCTTTTTATAGAATTTCGTGATGTTAATTCCAAATATCACGTTGAAAAATCAAGATAGCTATTATCATAGAATTGGTAATTTTCTGAATGATATCGTTTCTTTTTTTTCCTGAAGATTATTTAGAATTATCCTGTTGTGTGACATATCAGTTAACACAAGCTCATAGTCATTCAAAAAGTCAAAAGCAACGCTCATCTGCGAATTAAACTGCATTTTCGACAAGCAGTTGGTTAAAAAGATTTTGTAAAAGGTTGTGTTACAACGTACAGAAAAAGGTGACGGTGGCTATTTCTAATTTTTTTTGCATAAAAATAGTCACAATGCGAGCTATCTGATACTATAGAGAAGTTGTTTTAATTAATTTCTAAATAGTGGAAAACTCTCGTTGCGAAATATTATCAAAAGTTATAGATTTTTTTCATATATAGAACGAAAGTTAGAATTCAAAAAACGATGCTAATATATTGATCGAAAACTCAACGCTTTCTGATTAGACTTCTCTATCGCAGAATATTATTTTCATTCGAAGTCGAAAACGTTCCCTGCCGGCCATAAAAAGCAAACTTAACAGTGGTAGTGTCAACATTACCGTTTTGTATTTTGTTGGGATTTCGACTATGAACAATCTACAAACGGCATGTCACTTGAAAAAGTTAGTCTAGGCTGTTTTTATAACCGCTGATCCGATTCCAATGATTAAATTAAAAGATTTGAAAGAGTGTTTTCAGATGGCTGACTGAGAAAATTTTAAAAATCTCAAAAACGGCAACTTCTAGAAACTCATAACGTTTCATCCGTTGCACTTGAAGAGAATGTTTTTTTCGAGAATTCTTTGTCGTTAAAAATAATTCGAATTCTTCTTCAGAAGTGCCTGAACTATATATGAAAAAGATGAAAGTTTCAGCTTTTTAAATTAAAATTTAAAAATTTGCACGTTTCTTAAATTTCCGTTATTAGTTTGTGAAAAAAGTTGAACTAATTTTAATTATACCGTTAGATAGAGAATGCAAGTAGAATAAACATGGGAGTTTGCGAACATTCCAGTATATTTTTCAGGGTTTTTTCCAAGCGATTTCTCGAAATCCTGCATCAAACCCATTAGCTTAAATAGCAAAAAGTTAAATTTTGGATAAGTACACGAATAGAGCTTGAAAACTGATCAATTCAGTATAACTTTCAGGTTTAAAAGCGTTTTTCATAGGTTTTTTAGAGGATTTTGGCTAAAATCTACGTGTAAGACGAAGTTTGAAATACAAGTTTTGATTGCACCCTGTCATTTCGTTACTCTTTGCGATTTACAGCGTATAATACTATTCCTGAGTAGTCCTTCGCAGAGATTTTCTAGTTCAGACATTTGACAAGCTATGGCCGTATGCAGTGACATTCACACTTTAAAAACTTAACAAAAAATTCTACTTGAAGAATCCTGAGGGTATTAGCAGAGAGTTTTTTTACACACGTTTCTTTGTGTCGATCTTTGCACAGTTACAATAGATATGTAACTGTGTGTTCCTCCACAGAAGAAAAATAGAGTACAGAAATAGTAAAAAAAAGCAGTAGCTAAGAATGAGTGATGATATATGTGGTTCTGTCATGACATTACGATCAAAATTAATCAAAGCAAGACAAACAGATAAGATCTGCTGCACATGAAGGCACATCGATTGTCACTATTGAAAAAGAAATAAGAGAAAATGAAACCCTGCCAGCATTCGCAATATGTTATAGAGTGCCAGTAAGCAAGAAAACTTTTTCCTAGTTCTCAGACATTTAGCTTCAAATTCTTTCGGATTAATTCTAATGATATATCTATCATTATCATCTTTAGGTATTACAAATTAAACGTAGAATAATTGGATCTTAGCTTAAGCATTAAATGTATTGATACTATTGGTGATGCTGTTGATGTGGATGAAACTCATTCTTGAAACGATTGAATATTTGTAAATAAATATCATTATAGGCCTTATTAGCTTGAATATTCTTAAACTGAAAATGATGTTTTGAAAATCGTATTTGGTGTTGTCGACTTTGCTGTATTGTACATCGTTGTTGGTAGTGATTCAAGAAATAACAATGTATAGTAGAGATTTTGTATGAACTTGATAGTGTATGTAGTGACAGGTAGTAGTAGGTAGTAATAGCAGCTAGGGATTATGAAAATAGACATTTGTACCAGTCATACTATCTGCAATTTTAAAGTTTGTTGCAAGATCGAATTCTCCATCCTGTAATTCGAAAGAGCAATCTGAGGGAAATAAAAGTATATCAGAATTCGATTACTCAGCCACTGAAGCATCAGGTAAGCCTGATGCTGGTGGTATACAGAGTAATTAAGTTGAATTGATACCTGAACAAATCCGGCATGTCAAGGTATCATGCCAATTGTTTCAACGCTTTGTTAGGTCCCAAAGAAGATTTCTGGCTATTGGGAATGGAAACCTCTCTAAACCGGCCCCCAATATGATCAAATCTTTTGAACCAACGAACCAACCACGTACATAATTGGAAAAAAGTAACAAAATGCGTATTCCACCGTTTATCTTCGTTGAGCATCTGATGAATAGTCGACTGAAAATCGGTTATATCTGAGAACAGAATAGCGAAGAACGGTTTTGTTACGTTAGTTTATCAATATACTTTACACTCGACACCCATGCTTTGAGAAGAAAGAAAAGGCCATGCCGTCGTTCGTCACCCATGTGATGACGAGGACGACACGTTGACTCACATTCTACCTATAACTTATACCTTCCACTTTATGCTCTGTTCGCTAACCTACAGTGGCTACCAGAATGATACAACGAGCCACATCAAAGTGTTTTTCCTATTCTATACCATATGACAAAGCACACCAAAACTATTATCGAAATTTTAAAAGAAGGTTATCCGGCAGAATGCTTATAACTTTTTAACGAAGATAGCTAGCGACCTGCGGTTTTCACCATTTGAAAGAGAAGACCGGGCGACATAAATGTGTAGAAAGTTTGATTAGTCCCGCAATCGACCAATCAGGTGAGTGCTTGGCAGACATTTTGAAATCGATATTCTGAAGACATTTCCCATTTGCTTTTAGCTTGTAATGGAGGAAAAAGTTGAATTTTCAAAAATCTTAATATAATGAATATATCTTGCTTTGAAGCTGAAAATAAACATTGCTACTCGACTCAGCGTGGCCGATTACCATCATGTCGACCTATTTTGCGGTGATTCAAAGTCAAATAGCCGAAATCGAGGCTCCTAGGAAAACGCTTATAGCTACTGAAGGGAACAAGCTAGGAAGATCAGCCCTGTGTAGATTGAAAGAGAAAACATTTCTTTATCGAGTGGTGATATTACAAGCTAAAAGCAAATGGGAAATGTCTTCAGAATATCGATTTCAA